TTTGGGTCAGAGTCATCATCTGACCCAGCAATTCTGCTGCTAGATATATATCTAAGAGAACTGAAAATATAAGTCCACACAAAAACCTGTTCACATATTATCATAGCAGTTTTATTCACAATAGCCAAAAAGCAGAAACAACTCAAATGTCTATCAATTGATGAATGGATAAATATGATGTGATATATCCATATAATGGAATATTACTTAACCATAAAAAAGAAATGAAGTACTGTAAATGCTACAACCTGGATGAACCTTGAAAATATTAAGCTAAGCAAAAGAAGCCCAGACACAAAAGGCCACATGTTGTATGATCCCATTTATATGAAATGTCCAGAGTAGACAAATCCACACATAAAAAAGTAGGCTCATGATTGCCAGAGACTGGAGAAGTGGGCAATAGGGAATAACTACTTAATGAACATAGGCTTTGCTGGGAGTAGAGGGGGAGAGGAAAATGTTCTGGAATTAGATAGTGTTGATGGCTGCACAACTTTGTAAATATACTTAAAAAATGCATTGTACACCTTAAAAATACCCATTAATTAGTTCACAATTCTGTAAATCAGAAGTCTGGGTGGGCTTGGCTGGGTTCTAATTTTAAGGTCTCACAAAGCTAAAATCAAGGTGTCAGTAGGAGGGTGACATGAGACATATCCCAAGGATCTGCATTCAAACTCATTCTATTTGTTGGCAGAATATAGTCACTGTGATCATAGTGATGAGGTCCCGGTTCCTAGCTGGCTGTCTCTCAGCACCCTAAGGCCACCTGCATTCTGTCTTGTATGACCCCCTCAATCTTCAAACTAGCAAATCAAATAAGTGCATTGAGTCCTTCTTAAACTTCATATCTCTCTACCTGAGAGAATTCTTTGCTGTTAATAACTCATGGGATTAGATTAGGACTCCCCCCCCCTCAGATAATCGCCCCGTTTTAAGATCAACTGTACCATAGAACATACATACATAATACAATGAGGTATCTCATCACATTCACAGGTTCCAGGGATTAAAGCATGGAATCTTAGGAGTCATTCTTAGAAATTCTGCCACTACAACACTTGATAATGACTTCAAGTGGACTTACTGACAATTTTATCTCCCAGAATGAGCAAGCATTCCTGAGTGCCTGTTGCATTCAGATGCTGGGAGTTCCACCAGTTGCCCGCCCCATCTCTCTGGTCCTTAGTCCAGTCCTAGCACATGATATGTGTTTAATGAATATCCATCATGTGTTTGTGTTTGCTGAACTATCCCTACCCTATGGTAGGTCCCTGATCGTTTGAGAAGACAGAATCATCCATATACTGGGGAGGGTCAGGAGCCAATAGCTGTGAGAGGTAAGTATAAATGGAGGTCTGGATGTAAAGAATGGTTTCTCTGAAACTGGTCCTGACCTGTTACATAAAGAGAAGTGACAGGAACCCTGAAAAAAATTAACAAGTCACTTTAGAGCTTGTGGTAACCATAGAGGTTATCTACATCAGATAAATGCCAAGCATGTCCCCATTTTTTGAAGGCAGATTTCAAAAAGCAGGAGAGAAGAGAGACAGGCACCCATGAGCAGATGTGCTAGTCAAAGGTAACCATTTTTAAAAATAATAATTGCAAATGATTCCCATGAAGAAGAAAAGTTTGGGGGAGAGGAGGGGAGAGCAGAGCAATAGAGAATAATAGGGGATCTGCAGGATGTCTTCTGGTGATTGCTTTCCTTCTTTCAACAAGTATCTACTGAGGGCACTGTGCCAGGTGGGACAACACAGGGAGAAACCCAAAGGAAAATGCAGTATGCAGCCTCCAAGATGCTTCCCAATGACCCCTGCCTCCTGGTATAATGTAATCTCTTTCCTCTGTGTGTGAATATTAGCAGAAGTAATGGGTTGTCACTTCCAAGATTAGGTTATAAAAAGATGCAGCTTTATTTTGGGTACATTCTCATATTCTCTCTCTCTCTCTCCTCACTTGCTTTGAGAGAAGCCAGCTGCCATGTTGTTGGCTGCCTCATGGAGGGACCCACATGGCAAGGAACTGATGTCTCCAGCCAAGAGCCACTGAGGACCTGAGGCTGCCAACAGCCACATGAGTGAGCTGGACGTGGATCCTCCCCTAGTCACACTTAGAGATCACTGCAGCCCTAGCCAACACCTTGATTCCAGCCTATGAGAGACCCTGAGCTAGAGCCCCAGCCAGGCTGCTCCTGGATTCCTGACCCACAGAAACAGTGAGATGATAAAAAGTTGGTTGGTTTAAGCTGCTAAATTTGGGGGAGATTTGTTATGCAGCAATGGATAACTAATGCAGGAAGGCTTATAATAGAGGTGATAATACTTCATAATAGTTATAATAAGGAATATAAATGAAGAATATACCCCCAAATCAGAGGCAGGATATACACCTAGCAAAGGCTTGAGAGAAGGGAGTCAGGAAGGAGAAGACATACTTGGAATGAGACTTGGGGAAATGCTAAAGGCAGAAAATAAGGTTTCTTCAGTTTTGTCTGGGGCAAGAAGCAGAACAAAGAAGGCTTTCTATTGGGGCAGAAGGTGGCAGAGAAGCAGGGAACTCCCCAATTTCATCCCATATCTATTGTCTCCATAGGTGGGCAGTGTGCCTCCGGCTACTTCATTCATTTCTCAGAAATGGCCAAGGGTGGAATGAGGTCTGAGTGGACCTGAAGAAGGAGATGCTGAAGATTGTCCTAGAGCTCAGAGCTCTGCTAAGTGCACTCTCCTTAGGCCCCAAGAAACCCCACTCCAAGGGCCCAAGAGCATGTGAAGTAAGATTGTTGAAGTGCTATTGGTGGCCCTTGGGAGGCCTGGGGGAAGGGAGGAGTCATGCTGTTAGAGGGGACAGACACAGACTGTCTTTCCAGAATGAAGGAGGTGAATCCTGAGACAGACTAGTGATCCTGATCTGGGAGAGGGTCCAGAACAGATTCTGAAGAGATGATGTGTGAGCTCCAGGCCCAGCCTCGAGTTCACTAAACATCACAGGTCCAGGCTTGTGAACTTTCTGGAATATTAAATAGCAAAGAATGAGCAATAAAAGCCAGGATCCAGGTAAGGCTGTGGAAATGACATATCCTGATTTCATCTGCCAATTGACAGCCTCTTATGGAAAAGTGGAATAAAAATATTTCTAGGGTGATTTATTACCATTTCAACAGTGATGGCCAGAAATGACTGATTAAAGGAATATTATCGACTAGGGTGTTCCCAGGAGCCTCTCGGCCCCCACTGGATAATAACGTTAACAGTTAACATGTATTGTGGGCTTACATTGTACTAGGAACTATTCTAAGCACCTTCTGTGGATTGTTTCATTTGATTCTCGAAACAATGAGATAGACACTTATTATAATCAGCTCTGTTGAACAGGTGAGGAACCTGTGGTACAAGGAAGTTGACAAGATCACACAGTTAGGATATCACAGAGCCAGGACTGGTGTCTGGTGGCCCAGACAATGCCTTTGCCTTTACTCCGTGGCCCTATTGCCCACATTCTCCCACCTGGGAAGAAGCAACTTGGCTGTTTGCACGAGTATGAAGCAGGCTTTGATGTGTAGCATGTATGCATGCAGCCCTGTATTAGTGCCCGTCTCTGTGTGTGCCGTGTGAAACTGCACATGTGTGATATTTGGGTACCTGTGTGCTCTGGGCCAGCAAGTTGTTGGGAAAAGCTGAAGGAAAGGGGGCCGGGCACTGCAGCCCTGATCACGCTGTGCCCAGGGTGCTGGGAAGCAGCAGGAAGTTGGTCAGTGGGTCAGGCAGCTGGTCACTCGAGCAGAAGGGTGACAGGTGGGCAGGGGTGACCAGCCGGCTCCCACCTGCCGGGGCTGTCCATCAGCACCAACCCTGGCAGTGCCTGAGGCCAGGACCCCCAGCAGGCCAGTCCCAGAGGCACACCCTTCCAGGGGACATCCCAAGGTGGCAGAAACCCACACACACACACAGCCAGCTCCAAGCCCTGGCCCAAGACCTAAGCACCCAGATTTTTCCCTGTCCTCTCTTACCCAGCCCGCACACCAGTGGCTAAAGGCTGCCGTGGCTGCCTCAGACCCTGAGAGCTAGGTGAAGGGGTGAGATGGGCTGGGGACACATGGTCAGTGGGAGCCCTCCCACACTTATCTGTCTTCAACATTCAGATGATCCCAAGTACACATGACCTTGCTAATGTTGTGGGATAAGAAAAGGCGAAAGGGTCCTCAGAAGTCATCTATATCACACCTCTATTTCTCCAGACAAGTAAAATTGAGGTTCAAAGAGGCCCTGGGATCCCCCAAAGATTCTGGAATCCATCTGGGGTCGAGTAAGATTCAGAGGATTAAAACTGGAAGTTTGGCTGCCCTGGGGGAAAATGAGTTCTGCTCAAAATAACATGAGCACGTGGAGGCTGTAAATATGTGTGGCAGGGGAAGAAGGAACCCCCCTCCAACCTTTACAAATCCAGGTAGGGGTGGGGGTAAGTGAGGTCTGGCCAGCTGAGAAGGGAGGAGCAGGTAAGAAAGAAGGGTGGAGAGGGAGAGTGAGCAGGGGGAAGCCCAAGTCAGGATCCGGTAGAGGGGGTGGGCTTGGAGCAGGCAGGTGGGGGGCTCTGGGGCAGGGCTGGGCAGGGCTGAACACTGCAGGGCCTGTGGTGGGGAGGCTGGCATGGGGGTGCAGCGCCAGCCTGCCTGGAGACCCACAGGGCGGCTGATGGGCAAATAGGGGGAGGACCTGGGGGCGGGGCGGTCCGGTGCTAAGGGATATGGAGCTGGGAGCACAGGGTCAGTGGGTGGAGGGCAGACTGCGCAAGGCAGGGGGAGGTGAGAATGGGTGGAGCGTGGGGAGGGGCCCGGCGGTGGGCGCGTGGCGGGGGAGGGCGGTGGGCCGGGGCTGCGGTGATGGGCGGCGCGTGGCCCGCCGACCCCAGCTGTGGCGTCGCTCAGGCCCGGCTTAGCGGGCCAGGGCCAGGGATTAGGGGCAGTGGCCGCACCTGGTGGGACGGCCGCAGGGCTAATGCTGTGTGACCGCGAGGCCCCGCCTGACAACTGGCTCCCTCCCGCCGCCGAGGAGGGCTGTGAGCTCGTTAGCCCTCGCTGGCGTGTGCGCGGGGGTGTGCGGCCTCCGGCGGCAGGCGCACGTGTGCCACCGGCTCTGCGGCTGTCGCTGATCGCTGATCGCAGGCCTGAGGATTCCGGCAGCAAGGCGGCGGAGGGCAGCGGCCTGAAGGTGTCTCCCCCTGTGTCAGGCTTTGAGGGTCAAGTGCAGGCCGCTTGATTGTGTGCCTCGGTGAGCAGTGGCCACCTGTGATGGGATCGCTCTGGGTCTGTCTGGAGGTCTGACTGGGGGTGCTTCTCTGGAATGACAGGCCCTGTTATGACTCTGTGTGGACTGTGTCCCCACCCAGGACCTTAACCCGTGTGTGAGACACATGTCCCTGGACCAGACTATGTGGGACACCTCCATTCTTAGAGTGTGCTTAGGGGTACCAGGAAGAACTCTCACCTTCCTTGGGGACCGCTGCCCAGGTCCCTTCTGCAGTTGTAGCCTTTGGGGCACAACCCCTCCCCCAACAAGCTATCTACTTCCCAGCAACGGTATTTCAGCCATGTACCCCGCAGGCCCCAACTCTCTGGTGCCAAGTGGAGACCACAGGAGGGGAGTCCTGATCCCTGCATTTCACCTGCTCTGAGCTCAAGCCTGTCCCCTCAAGCCCGTCCCCAACCTTGACCTAACTCAGGGCCCCAGACTTGCTATAACAGCCCATTTTCTACCAAAAGTAATCGGATCCGGACAGAGCTTGTGTTGGAATAGGGAGGTCTTATCCCATGCCATAGATAAAGCTCTGGGCCTTTGCACCTGCTGTTCCCCTGCCTGGAGGGAGGCCTCTCCTTTTCCTAGAGCACAGGAGCCACCTCCACCAGGAAGCCCTCCCTGTAGTACCTCCATCCCACCCGGCTCTCCCTCTCCTTGCAGAATCTTGGCTCACACCAGGCTTTGGCTACTCCAATGTCATCTGCAGCTCCTGAGGATAGGAGCTCGCTGGGGATGGAGGCAGGTCTGGACACATGATAATGGCAGGGCTGCTCACTGAGCTGAGGCACTGGGCAGGCGGCGCTATGCACCCTGCTCCTGCCCACCAACAACTAGGAGAGTCTCCCAGGGGCTTCGTTCCTGAGAGGCGGGAGGGTCAGGCAAGCCCTGTGTTCACTCACTCCTCCATGTGCACACATGTCCTCTCTCCTCCCACAGAGGCACCAAGCTGCCAGGAGCAGCCCTGCCCCCTCACCACGCTCCCCAGCAGCGAGGAACTGGGCTGAGCTGTCCTCACCCGCCCTCCTGGCCTCACCCTGGCCCTGCCCTGGCCCTGCCTGGGGATGCCAGGACCCACAGCAGGTGCCTGGACAGGCTTGGGGCTGGAGAGAAGGGCTGGGTGCAGCAGGCCAGCCTCTGGCCAAGAACAGAACTCAGAGAGAGACAAGTCCAAAATCTTCCTCTTCCTCATTCTCTCCGTCCCCTCCTAAGTCCTGTTACTAACAACAGCTACCATTCACTGGGTGCTCATTATCTGCCTGACACAGTGAGGATGTATGTGCATTATCTGCTTCATCCTAAATCAATCCTGAGCAATGGGTACTGTTATCTCCATCTTCTGATGAGGCAGTAGAGATTCAGAGAGGTTATATGCCTGTCCAAGGTCACTTCACTGGTCAGAGCCAGGGTTCACACACAGACCTTTCCTTGCCCGTGTCCCCCTGTGCTGACCCAGGTGCTGCTCTGCTCACCCTGGGCGGTGGTGACCCTGTTACACATGCGCCTCCCATGTTAGGGTGGGCCTGTGGGATAGCAAGGACTGTCCTGTTCTCCTGATTGCCCCAGTGACAGTACCGAGGAATGCTAGCAGAATGATGTTAATTTGGCTGTTAGCACAGCAAATGTGGTTCAAACCCAAGATCCATCTTACTTGCCTTATGACCTTGGATGCTAATCTTTCTGTCTCAGTTTCCTCATCTATAAAATGAGAAGGAAATCCTATGGTGGTGTTAGGAGGCTGAGGTAACCTAGGAGAAGTCCCTGGATGTGGTAGGTCGTATATAAGCGTTAGTTGTTACTTTCATTATCTCGCACTGGACTAGGATGGTCCCTGACCGACTCTCTGCTATGTTCCCAGCACTTAGCAAAGACCTGGCCTGGCGGGCTCCTTCCATTTCCTCATCTGTAAAATGTGGCTGAAAATACCCAGTTTCCAGGGTTAAGGAGCTGTTTATAAAATACCTGGCACAGGGCAGGGGCTGGCATTGGTAGTGGCACCGGTGGGGCTGTGTGAATAGGTTGATGGGGGCCAGGGCCAGCGTGGGCTCTCCTGGACACCCCATCTTTGAATCTGAGCTCAAGCCTGTCCCCTCCTGCCCTCATCCCCTTCAAGCCCCAGTAGAGAGGGGGCACAGAGCTCCCTCAGACTGTGCCCTCCAACATGTGGAGAAACCCCTCATCAGGGCCAGCCTGGGCACAAGATGCCTCCTCTTCACCCCTTACTGGGTCTTCCTTGAGGAACTGGACTCTGGGAATGGAGCCAGGTAAACAGAAGGCACCCAGTAGATCACCCCAAGCCACACCTCTTTAGGAGAGGAATCCTATCTCCAGTTAAGTTCTGACATGAGACACTGCACATAAAGTACATCGAGGTAACGTGTTGTTGTTGTAAATTAGTTTTGTTAGTGCAAATGTATCACATGTATTTCTTATAAAGAGCACTACTGCTCTCCGCCAGGTACAACAGAGCCTGCTACATAACAGGCACTCAACAAATCACTTCTGACTGATGGATAGTTCATCGGTGGGGGAAGGAGGGTATTATGATGAATACAAATATGTGAAATGGGAGGAAGGGTTCTGGACGATAGTTGTAGAAACCTACCAGCCTGAAACTCTAATCCAGCCCTTGTGGAACCCCTGTAGCACTTCTGAATCGCCCAGGACTCCACAGGGTACTGTAGCACTTCTGAATCGCCCAGGACTCCACAGGGTACCGTCTGAAAACAACTGGTCTAAGAACGTCCTCTTTTTTGTGAGTGAGGACATTATAAGGCCAGAGGGTCAGTGGCAGAGTCGACTAGAACCCAAGCCTCCTGACTCCCCATTCCAGGCTCCCTTTCAGCCCCACAATGCATTCTGGAGCCCTAGGGTGGGTCTTTCCTGTCCATTTCACCCCGCCTGGGACAGCCTTTGTGTCACTGGCCCACCATCCTGCTCTGGGCATTTCCCACCAGCCTCTGCCCCAGGCCTGAGTTCTGTTCTAATGTGTATCATCCGGATGGGAAGGCCCATTGCCCACCATCCCTCTTGGAACCACTGGGCATTCTCAATAGGTGCCAGATCAGCAGAACCCACTGGGTAAGTGAGGAGTGGGGGGATAAGTACAGCCACTGAGGGTCTGGGCTAGGGGAGCACCTACAGCACCCCAGATCATGGGCCCCACAGCCGTTGGGGGCATTTATGGGCCTTCCTATAAACTTCTGAGAGGGTAACTTTATCCTGCTTCTTTCGGCCAAGTATCCTCCTCCAGCAGCTGGTCACAAAGCTGGTTAATCTCCCAGAGTGCTCAGCTTAAAACCCGTGACTCACAGCACAGCCAGTGTGGGGGGAGGGGGCAGCCGCCTCCCAAACGTGGCGCCCACAGTCAGCTGTTCCGGGGGCCTTCTCAGGTTTCTCCAACTCAGGCCTGAGGTTTGGGGCCTTGTCTTCCCTCCTGTAGTCCTGCTTCTCACTGACCCCTAGATACAAGCTATGCGAGGTCAGGGCCCTGGGAGGAAAGCCAGTTTCAGGGCCTTGGTTTTGGCCAAGACCTCAGGCTATCCCCAGGAATGACCAGCAGGCATTGGCCTTCAAGGGAAGGGTGAAATTTCAAGTGTAACTCTGGGAGAGAGGACAGCCCTACCGATTGGGGGTCTCTCTCCTGTACAGACCTGGAGAAATTCCCTTTCAATCACGACCCCTCTCTACGGATCTGCCATTCCTTGTCAGAGTGTGGTGTGAGGGCATGGAGAATGGCTAAAGCAGGCTTCCAGAAGGGAACACAAATGTCCAGTGGTCTCTGACTTGAAATGAGCCAAGTAAACACAAGACCTTTAAGGGAAAAAGGTGAAGTAGTTAAGAGTACTGGCCTTGGAGTTGAAGAAACTTGGGTTCAAGGCCCAGATCTGCCCCTTGCTGGCTGAATGGCTTTTCTGAGCCTCAGTGCCCTCGTCTGCAACATGGGGATCATAATAGTACTGACCTTGGTGAGTTAGCGTGAGAATCAGATGAGGTTGTTTTGCCTACTTAGTAGGTGGGAGTTATTAATATTGTTATCATCATCATTGCTCAAAAGGCAGGAGAATCCATTTTTATTTATCAGGTACTGACTGTGTAGTAGGAGGGAAACTCATGGTCTGGAAGGCTTTTGATGACTCCTTTCATTGGGTAGGGATCTATTTAGATGAACATAACTCTGTGAATGATGAGCGAATGTGTGCCAGCCAGTGGCATTGTGCTTGTTAAGGCTGAAAACCAAACCTGAGAAACAGCTAAAGCAGATACATGGCAGAGGATCCCAGTGTAGCTCCTCTAAGCTTTGGTAACCTTTGCTGCTGTGGCTCCAGAAAATATCAGAATCTTCTATTCTATCCAAAAAATCCCAGGAGAAGCCTAAGATTTCTGTGGTGGAGAGGAACTAACTATTTTATACGTTTCTATTATGGGCCAGGTCTATATTAAATACATATATCTGACCCCATCTAACCTTTGCATCAGTCCTGTGGGGTAAACATACTGTTATCCCTATGTGGTAGATTAATTATATGAATGAGCCCTATTCTTCACTCCTCCTGGTACCCATGCCCTTTGCCACATGACTTTGTAGCTCTTCACAGCAAGAGGCACATTTCCCCCTCAATTCTGAGCTCAATCATGTAACTTGGTGTGGCCCACGTTTGCACCATTGCCACTCCAGTGAAAACATGTACGGACTAGCCTTCTTGACGATGAGATAGAAAAGAGCTGAGCTGCCCCCGTCACCCCAGTCAAGGCCAGCCTGGAACAGCCAACAGCCAGTTGGACACCACATGTGAGCCCAGCTGCGCCCAGAACAGCTTCCTAGGTGAGTCCAGGAGAACAGCCCCATCCAAATGGCCCATTTACAGACTCATAACCTAAATAATGCTCATTGTTTGAAGACACTGTGTTTTGGGGTGGATCATTACATAGCACTGTCATGGTGATAGATAGGTACACATCTTTGTAAAAATCAAATAGACTCTCTTTTCTAGATCAGTTTTAGGTTTATAAGAAAATTGAGCAGAATATACAAAGAGTTCCCATATACCCTCTGTCCCCATACACACAAAATCTCCCCCACTATCAACACCCTGCACCAGAGTGATACATTCGTCACAACCGATGGACCTACATTGAATCATGATCATCCAAAGCCTATAGTTTACCTTAGGTATCACTCTTAGTGTTGTACATTCCATCTCTTTGGACAAATGTATAATGACATGTATCCACCATTATAGCATCCTATAGAATAGTTTCACGGCCCTAGAAATCCTGTGCTCTGCCTCTTCATCTCTCCCTACCTCGTAACCCCTAGCTAACTCTGATCTTCTTACTGTCTCCAGAAGTTCATATAGTTGCAATCATACAGTATGCAGCTTTTTTTTTCAGATTGGCTTTTTTCACCTAGTAATAAGCATTTAAGATTCCTCCATGTCTTTTCATGGCCTGATAGCTCATTTCTTTTTAGCACTAAATGATAGTCCATTGTCTTGATGTACCACAGTTTGTCCTCTCACCTACTGAAGAACACCTTGATTGCTCTCAAGTTTTGGTACACCATTGTTTAGATGGGGAAATTGAAGCACAATGTGGTTAAATAGTGTGTCTAAAAACACACAACCCAAAGTGGCAAGTCTGGGATTCACTTAGATCTTATTTCAGAAGTCATGAACTTTATATTCTTTTGTTGGACTGTCCCTATAAAACTATGCCCTTTCAATTTTTAAAACATTTTTTTTTTAGAGAGAGGAAGACAGGGGGGAGAGAGAGAGGGAGGGAGAGAGAGAGAGAGAGAGAGAGAGAGAGAGAGAGAGAGAGAGAGAGACATCAATATAAGAAGGAAACATCCATCAGTTGCCTCCTGTACATACACCAACAGGGGATCAAACCCAAAACCTGGGTAAGTGCCTGACCTGGAATTGAATGACACTCCAACCAAACAAGCCACACTGGCCAGAGCTGAAACTATGTCCTTTGGGAATTCTCTGCTTTGCCTTTTCTGGTTCCTCTAGTTAGCGCTAATTAGCAAATATTTCCTCAATAATCCTCCTCCCTTGAACATTAGAGACTTAGAGGAAAAGATCAAAACATATTCAGAAGGTTACTCCGCGGAACTGGAGTGCTGGTGGCGCAGGCCCTGAGGGCCCGCGGTCCCAATGCGGCGGCCGCGGTGCGCTCCATGGCGTCTGCAGGCGGTGTTCCTACTGACGACGAGCAGGCGACTGGGCTGGAGCGGGAGGTCATGTTGGCTGCACGGAAGGGACTGGACCCATACAATATGCTAGCCCCAAAGCCAGCTTCAGGGACCAAGGAAGACCCTAATTTAGTCCCTTCCATCACCAACAAGCGAATAGTGGGCTGCATTTGTGAAGAGGACAACAGTGCTGTCATCTGGTTCTGGGTGCACAAAGGCGAGACCCAGCGATGCCCTAGCTGTGGAACCCATTATAAGCTGGTGCCCCACCAGTTGTCCCACTGAGCCCTTGCACTGACTCAGTCAGAATGTGCTGTAAAGTTTCTTGTTTCTGATAAAGACTAGCCATTGCTTTGGCTCCTCCCACAAAAAAAAAAAACATATTCAATTTTACACCTTTCAGAGCTGGGCACCAAGTGAAAACACATGGTTTCTTGAAAGAATATTTAAGTGAGCTAAGCCAATGGGAGCCATTTGCAACAAGTGATAAAACTGCGAGTTGTATTCTGGTCCCCCTCCTGAGAGCTATGAGAGGTGAGAGTTGCCAGAGAGCTGCCCTTGGGAAACATTTTTAATATAATTATACCTGGATTCTACACATTTGCTGATAGCTGCTCCCATTAGGCCAAGCGCGGTCTCCATCCTCCTGTAGGATAAAAGAGAAGCTGATGGAAGGCGGGGCCAGGCAGGACAAACCCTTTCACTTCTTCCTCCCTTCTGTGGTCAGGAGCTCTTAAACATCAACTATTCTAGAAGTCTGTGTATGTAAATTAACATCTCCACTTTTTAGATGTGGAAACTGAGGCTCAGATATTTAAGGGAATTGCCAAAATCACAGTTAGTGGCAGAGTTAAGAGTACAACCTACACAGTATGACTCCCAGAGCCCGCAGGCTTAACCACATGACTTACACTGCTTCCTTTTATGTGGCTCTTCCTTCTCAGAAGTGACTTCAGAATCTCTACTTCCATCTCAGAAACACACCATCTGTTGGCCTGGGGGAGATTCACCAACCTTTTAGCCCTATCTGCAAAATGAAGAGAACAATCTTTACTTACCTAGCTGTGATCAACTTAGTCCAACATCTATTTCTTGCCTCCTTTGTTTATGTTCACATCATGTCCTGGGCTTATCTCAGCCATCCACATGCATTACACATTTTATTTCTCAGGGCCCAGTTTCATAGTAGGTATTCATTAGGAGACAAGTCAGGCCGCTATAACAACAAAAACACCTAAAATCTTTGTTTACTCCTTTCTTACATAAAATTTCAGGGCTGTGGTCAAAGACTTGTATAGCAGCCCAACAATACCGGGAACCCAGGTTCTTTCTATCTTGTTGCTCTGCAATCTTCAATAAGCAACTTCCATCACAGAATCTAAGATGGTATACTAATTTCCTATTGCTGCTGAAACATTGCCACAACTTGGTGGTTTAAGACAACACAAACTTATTATCTTACAATTATAGTGGTCAGAAGTCTGAAATGGTTCTTACAAGGCTAAGATCAAGGTGTTGGCAGAGCAGCTTTCCTTCTGAAGGCCTTAGAGGAGAATTCTTCCCTTGCCTTTTTTCAGCTCTATAGACTACCTGCATTCCTTGGCTCAGGGACACATCACTTCAACCTCTGCTTCTGTAGTCACATTTCCTTCTCTGACTCTGACTTACCTGCCTCCCTCTTTTCTTATAAGGACACAGGAGATGACATTGGGCTCATCTAGATAACCCCGGATAATCTCCCATCAAGATGTTTAACTTAATCACATTTCCAAAGTCCTTTATGCCACGTAAGATAACATACCCACAGGTTCTGGGGATTAGGATGTAGGCATCTTTGGTGGCCCATTATTCTGTCTACCATAGATGGATTCCCCAGCTCCTGCCATTCACCCATATTCCAGCCAATGGAGGGAAGAAAGAAAGGAGACAAAAAGTCATAACCAAGAAGTTGCATGCAAATCACTTTCACTCAGACCTAATTGGCCAGAACTTACTGACATGGCCACAGATCACTGCAAGGGAATCTGAAAAATGTAATCTTCTGCTAGGTGGCCATGTTTCAGGCTAAAAATTATATCAGTACATAAAAATATTTTTTTAAAAAAACTCCGTCAGTATGCTATCAGAAAATAGATCATATGAAACTCCACAGGACAAACATACCCTTTTTTCCCCAATAAATATATTGCAAAGGAAACAAAAAGTTACAGAGGAGGAACTTTTAGGTTTGAAGAGACTTAAAAGACAGGTCAACCAATCGCAATGTATAGGCCCTATTTGGATCCTGATTCAAAGAAACAAAAACATTTATGAGATCATTGGAAATTTGATTACTAATTGGATATTTGATGGTTTAAGGAATTACTGTTGATTTTTTAACACTTCCAGCCACTAATGGTATTGTGCTAATGTAAAAATTGGTTCTTATCTTTTATAAATATATAATCAAATATATATATATATATATATATATATATCCTATCTAATAAAAGACAAAAAGCGTTATTAACCGTACCTCCGCTACGCTTCCCATTGGCTAATCAGCGAGATATGCAAATTAACTGCCAACAAAGATGACGGCCGGCAGCCACGCAGCTGAAGCGAACAGAAGGCTTGCTTGCTCCAGTGATAGAGGAAGCCAAGGTTCCCCGCCTGCCGCGGCCCGGCTCTGAGCTCCAAAAGCAACTAAGTTTCAATTATAGAAGCTAAACAAACCCCAGATACCTGCTTTCAGCCGGCCGCAGCCTCAGAGCTGGGAGCGCCAGTGACGGCAACAGAGTTTTAATTATAGAAGGTAAATAAATCCCAGAATTAAAAAAAAAAAGGAGAGGCTGGGAGCTTCAGTCACCCGCCAGCCTGAAAACGGCCCTCAGCCCCTCACCCAGACTGGCCAGGCACCCCAGTGGAGACCCCCACCCTGAAGGGGGTGTGACCAACTGCAAACAGCCATCAGCCCCTCACCCAGGCTGGCCAGGCACCCAAGCGGGACCCCCACCCTGATCAGGGACACCCTTCAGGGCAAACCAGCCGGCCCCCACCCATGCACCAGGCCTCTATCCTATATAGTAAAAGGGTAATATGCAAACTGACCCTAACAGTAGAAAGACTGGGAATGACTGGTCACTATGACACACACTGACCACCAGGGGGCAGACACTCAATGCAGGAGCTGCCCTCTGGTGGTCAGTGCTCTCTCACACGGGAGGAGCTCTGCTCAGCCACAAGCCAGGCTGATGGCTGCCAGTACAGCGGTGGTGGTGGGAGCCTCTCCTGCCTCCTCAGCAGCGCTAAGGATGTCCGACTGCAGCTTAGGTCTGCTCCCCGCTAGCAAGTGGACATCCCCCGAGGGCTGCCAGGCTGCCAGAAGGATGTCTGATTGCCAGCTTAGACCCAATCCCCTGGAGAGCAGGCCTAAGCCAGCAGGTGGTCATCCCCCGAGGGGTCCCAGACTGTGAGAGGGCACAGGCCGGGCTGAGGGACCCACCCCCCCAAGTGCACAAATTTTTGTGCACCGGGCCTCTAGTATATATATGAAATGATATGACATCTGAATGTCTGAAATTTGTTTCAAAATAATACAGGAGGGGAGAAAGTGGGCAGGATGTTAACAGGTCAGGTTTGGACATGGGTTAATGGTTGTGGGAGCTGCTAATGGGGCTAATTGTGCTATTGTGTCTATTTAAATGTTTTAAAATCTTCATAATGAAGAGTGAAATAGGAGGTTAGGCTGGAAAGGGAAGAAGAGGCAGGGGAAGGACTGAATGGAATGGGAGCAAATTTGATGGACCCAGCAAGTCCCAAAGACCAGATATCTTTTACTCCCCATCTCCCTGCCTCTCCCTAGTCCCTGGGACAAGCACACTCTGAGCCCTCATCTGAAAATCACTAAGGAGGGGCAATGAGACGCAAAACCCCTGAGCCAGATGGTCAGAGGCCAAATGTCAGGGCAGAGGGTGACCCTCTTGACCATAGAGAAATCAAATCAGTGCCAGCCCTGGTGACCCTGTGTTTGCCTTTGAGTAACACAGGTGAAAGTGTCCCTGCCTCAAGGGCATGAAGTGGAACAAGTTCATTTTTATTCATTTGGAGAATGCTGGCCATTAAGGGGCCTCAAGAATCCATTGACTCCATTCCCCTGTCCCCAAGGTCTGGGCTTTGTAGAGTTGGCTGGGTATGGAGAGCCAAGAAACCTATGTTCCTGTCCCAGAGCTGCCATATCTAAACCTATGAGAGCCCTGGGCAAGTTGCTACAGAGTCCCTGTACAACGGGAATGTACAATGGGAATAAATGCTGTCACTGGTGTTGGGGCAGGGCAGGGCCACTGGCCACTGAGATGTGGACTCTGCAGGGCCCAGCTTTCTCTGGGGATGCTTTGGACAGAGCTGCCTCCTTGGGCCTCTCCCAGCCCCCCGCCTCCTGGCCCTGCCTGCACCAGCCTCTCTGCATCTGTCATCAGTCCGCTCTGCTCCCCCAGGACCAGGCTTTGTTTGGGGGCGACTGGCAGGCTGCCCGTGCGCACAGTGGAGGCAGTGACGCCCGCTGCTGCAGACAATACTTCACAGGCTGCATGGTTACCTCCACTTCCAGCCGCCCCACACCCCACCATGGCCCCCAGTTCCAAGAAGACCATAGCCCAGAATAGCCAGGCCACCCAGTGCCCCATCCCCACCCCACCCACTGCTTGCTCATAGCTTCCATCCAAAGGGAAAGCAAGCAGGGCAATAATAATCCCCAAGCTCCTGCTGTGCGCCACACGAGACACATGCCTTGGCGAATTGCACTCTTACAGTCCTAGGAGATGAGTGCTGGGACTAGTCACATTTTACAGCTTCAGAAAGTGAGACTCAGAAAGGAGAAGTGACTTACCCAAGGTAAGTAAGGGGCAGAGCCAGCACTGGCGTCTGGGTTGATCTGCCCTCTAAGTCCAGAGGAGACCCCTGAGCACACAGCTCCAGGCACTGGTGTCTGTGTCAGGCAAGATCAGCACCATATTCTTTCTTTAAAAATATATATTTCAGAGAGGAAGGGAGAGGAGAGAGAGAGAGAGAGAGAGAGAGAGATCAATGATGAGAGAGAATCATTATTCAGCTGCCTCTTGCCGGTCCCCTACTGGGGATGGAGCACGCAACCCGGGCATGTGCTCTGACCGGGAATTGAACCGTGACCTCCTGGTTCATAGGTTGACACTCAATTGCTGAGCTACACCGGCTGAGCCAGTTTCATATTTTTGAAAGCCGAGTTTAGACAGGGCCTGAGAGGTTGTGCTATCTCTTCAGAAGAAGCCAAAGACTATGACATTCATGGCCCCTGGTGTCCACTGGGGTGGGGACCTCCAAGTCAAGTGCCTTTCCGTCTGAGGGACAGGTTTCCGCATCTCA